GGGTTATCGGGTTTAGGGTTTTAGGGTGTAGGGTTCAGGGGTTGGGGTTTTAGGGTTTTGGGGTGTTTGGGGTGTCAGGGTTTAGGGTTTTGGGATGGTTGGCTTAGAGGCTTTGGGGTTTAGGGGGGTTTAGGGGGTTTGGGGTTGAGGGCTTAAGGTCAGGATGTAAGTACGTTAACCTTTGGCTCTAAGCAGTACTGCCGATAGTTGTCCTACTCAAAATCCTACACTCCGGCTCCTTTAAGTAGGTTTAAAGTTTATCAACAGTATAGGGTGAGGGATTTGAGGTCTTGCGATTAGGCTTCGGCGTTTAGGGATGCGGGCTCTTTTGGGAATCGGGGCCTTTGGCATAGGGAGGGGACCTGAACCCGAGACTTTAAACCCTAAACCCTAAACCCTAGACCCGAAACCCTAAACCCTAAACCCTAAACCCTAAACCCTAGACCTTAAACCCTAAACCCTAAACCCTAAACCCTAAGGTGAAGCCTTAGGCTCAGGCGTGTCCTGTTAGCACCACGAGGTAGCCCTAGGCATTGAGGCTCTTCTGGAAGGATTTCAGAAGGGGCTCCTGGTTCAGGGTTTAGGGGTTTAGGGTGGGTTTAGGGTGTAGGGTTTAGGGTTTAGGGTTTAGGGTTTAGGGTTTAGGGTTTAGGGTTTAGGGGTTTAGGGTGGGTTTAGGGTGTAGGGTTTAGGGTTCAGAAGATTTTCTCGGTTTTGTTTTTTGCTGTCGTTTCTGATTTGGTTTTGTGTCGCTTCACGACCAAAGCCCTCAAGCTTAGCTCTTCAAGGCTTTGAGCTTACGGCCCTAAACCCAAAACCCTAAACCCTACAACCCTAAACCCTAACCCTAAGCCCTAACCCTAAGCCCTAACCCTAAGCCCTAGTCCTAGGCCCTAACCCTAAACTCGGACCCTAAACCCTAAACCCTAACCCGAAACCCCAAACTCTAACCCTAAACCTGCAGGGGTCCTTCCAGCGGAGGATCCCTGGGTCTATCAACAGAAGCCGTCTTAGGGTTTAGGGTTTAGGGTTTAGGGTTTAGGGTTTAGGGTTTAGGGTTTAGGGTTTAGGGTTCAGGGTTTAGGGTTCAGGGTTTAGGGTTTAGGGTTTAGGGTTTAAGAACAGCTCACCAAGTGATTCCCCACCGCCTCTTAGACCCCAAATCCATCCACAAACCCCAGATTCTCATCATCCTGAAACCCTAAACCCTAAAACCCTAGACCCTAAACCCTAAATCTAAACAGTACTACGATGACCAGGCTCACTCCTAATGCCCTAAAAGCCCCGAGTGCCAAACCCTACAGGCGCAAAGCCTACACCCAGGACTCCAGAAGACCCCCCGGATCCGACACCCCAAAAAGGGTTCAGGGTTCAGGGTTTAGGGTTTACGGTTTACGGTTTAGGGTTTCGGGTTTATGGTTTAGGGTTTAGGGTTTAGGGAAAAGGCCACAAGCCCTGAACACCCTCATCTAGCTTCGGCCAGGTTGTGAAGCTGCAAAAGGAGAGGAGGCTGGCTTCCTCACCCTGAAGTCCTAAACCCCTCAAGCCCAGGTTTAGGATTTAGGCCCGGTCTCAACATCCCAACGCCCTTCAGACCCTCAAACCCTAAAGCTTGAAGTCCTAACGCTCGAAAGCCCTGAAGCGCTGTGCGAAAGGCAGGAACGCCTCACAAACTCCTGCAACAAAACCGTTCAAAAGTCGTCTTCTTGGTAGTGGCTAGGCAGGAGGATGAGTGCTGTTTGTTTTTTGTTCCCCATGTTATTGTTGGGATCAGCAGTTTGGGGTCTGGGTGTTTAGGTTTAGGCGTTGAAAAGTTTAGGGTTCACAAGGGTTTAGGGGGTTCAGGGTTTAGGGTTTTGCGGGTTCAGGGTTTAGGGTTTTGAGGGTTTCGGATTTAGGGTTTAGGGGTTTCGGGGGTTCAGGGGTTCTGCCGCTAAGATTTCGGGGTTCATTGAAGCAGAACGACATGCCGGACACAGAGCACGCTTCGCCTCGCTGACCTTGAAACCCTGAGCTTTCAAACATAGGCAAAGCTCTGAATCTTTGAGCCTAGCGCCCTAAACCCCAAACCTTACGCCCTAAAACCCTAAACCCTAAATCCGAAAACCCTAAACCCAACACCCTAAAACCCTAAAGCCCTAAACCCACACCTTAAAACCCTGAATCGTGGCAAAGCTTCTTCTTGGCGGTCCCGGGTTCAGAGTTCACTTCTAATTCCTTTCTGACTCAGCAGCTCAGCTGCTTTAGGGTTTTTTGTGGTTTAGGGTCTAAGGTTTAGGGTTTAGGGTTCTGAAGTCTAGACCCTCAGGCATACACCCTACACTCAACAAGCCTAGTCCTAATCCCCAGCAAGCTCGAAACTCCACACCCTAGACCTAACTCTATACCCTAAACCCTAAGCTTTAAACCCTAAACCCTAAACCCTAAACCCTAAACCCTAAACCCTAAACCCTAAACCCTAAACCCTAAACCCTAAACCCCAAAGCCTAACCCGAAACTCGAGGCCCCACACGCACGAAGCCTGAACCCCAAGCTGTAAACCTTGTGAGGCCTTTCGCAATTCTTTTCCGGTCGTTCGGGGCCGACCACGAGAAGATCCAGCAGGAGTGGAGACTTGGCATGATGGGAAGTTTGTAGTGTAGCGTTTTTGGGTTCATGTAGATCCCTTGTGAGTAAATCGCTTTTCTTTATCTGCTCTAACTGTTGGACTCTTTCTACAAGAGGCGGGCCTACATCAGGGAATAGGTCCCTAAACCCTAAACCCTAAACCCTAAACCCTAAGCCTTAAAGAGTGGGTAGTAAAGTTTGTGCGAACATCCCTTGACAGTCTTTGAACCACCGCATTGTAGTACACCCCGAGACCGAAGTCTGACCATGCTCCATATGGGGCTCTTGAGCACCCAATCGGACTTTAAGGTTTAAGGTTTAGGGTTTAGGGCTTTTTGACGAAGCTGGACGCCCAGGTCACTGAAGCATCACAGATTTCAAGCTAAACCCTAAACCCTAAACCCTAAAGCCTAAAGCCTAAACCCTAAACCCTAAACCCTAAACCCTAAACCCCCCCAAGCCACCCCACGCCTAAGGAACGCCTTTTGCGAGCTGCGGCACCCGATCTTCTCCCCCTTGATCGAAGATATCGGTCCGATGGACGGCAGCGTGCCGGGGGTGCCGGATCGACGGATCCACTCGATCCACACTCTCTATCGTGTTTTGGCTCAGGTGGTTAAGGGCTTGGTTCATGCTTTATAGGGCTGTAGTGTTTTGGAACCGTTTTAACATCCTCTATCGTGTTATCTGGGGCTTCGTTCAGGGTTTATGCGGTTTGGTTCAGGGTTTATCGGGTTTCGCTTTGGTTTTAGTTGCAGGTTGTAAGGTTGGTAGACCACACCTGCCACCTTGCTTCGGCGGCATGGAGCTTTAGGGCTCTGAGACTGGGTCGGGTGTAGAGTTCTAGGGTTTCGGGGTGATCGGGCAAATCCTAAACCCTGAACCCTAAACCCTAAACCCTAAACCCTAAACCCTAAGCCCTAAACCCTAAGCCCCAAACTGGGCGTACAGCTTGGTTTGGGGCTTGGGGTGTTCGGGCTTCAGGGGGTTCGTATAGGGTTCAGGGTTTAGGGTTTAGGTGTTTACCAAATGCCGAAAGATAAAAACCCCCAAGCCCAGTATTGAAGCATCTACACCTTACCTACACGCCTGAGCACAAAACCCCCAAACCCTCAACACCCAAACACAAAACACCCAAACGCTAAACTCTAAACACCTAAACACAAATCCCCTAAACCCTAGACCAAAACACCTAAACACAAATACCCTAAACCCTAGACCAAAACACCTAAACACAAATACCCTAAACCCTAAACGCTTCAACACAATCCCCTAAACCCTAGACCCTAAAGACCTAAACACAAATCCCCTAAACCTTAAGCCCGAATCCCGGAACATCTAAGCGTCAATCTTCAGCCTGACAGCCGGAAACCACAAGAAACTGCATCTTGAAGCTCTCAAGAAGGCTTCGGGGATTCCGCCGCCATGCAGGATCCGAAGAATATTGGAGCTTCAATGAGTTTTTTTAGGGCTTTTAGCCTCCGATCCTGCGACAGAAAGTCCCCTAGACAGCCCTATCCCCCAACTCCCAAAGGACCGCGGTAGCCCCCAAACCCTAAACCCCAAACCCCAAAGCCTAAACCCCTAAACCCAAAACCAGCACCCCACGTACGAAGCCCCTAAACCCTAAACCCTAAACCCTACACCCTTCAAGGTGACGCCCATGGGCCCTTGTTGCTCTTAGATACCTTCACCAACGGGCCCGATGCCGCTCGCCGTGGGTTTGTGGCTCCTGAACCCGAAGCCCATCACATGTAGGGTTTAGGGTTTAGTATAGGGTTTAGGGTTTAGGGAATTCAGGGCATAAGGTTTCGGTAGAGTTGCGGCGAAGGGAGCTTCTGGGCACGCCGCATGGAACTCTGAGCCCTAAGCCCTAGACCCTGAGCCCTTAGACCCTGAACCTGAGGACCCGAAACCCTAAACCCTAAACCCTAAACCCTAAACCCTGAACCCTGAACCCTGAACCCTAAACCCTGAGTCCTAAACCCTAAACCCTAAACCCTAAACCTTGGGCCCTCCACCCAAAACCCCTGCAGCCCCTAAGCCCTAGAAACCCTGGTTCTCAGCGATGCCTGAACCCTAAGGATTGCGCGCTACTCAAAAAGCAGAGCTCAAAAAACTCCCAACCCTCCCCCAAACCCTAAACCCTGAAGCCTTCACGGTTTAGGGTTGAGTACATCAGTGGAAAAACGGAGCCCCACGGCGTCCCTTTCTGTAGGGTTTAGGGTTTAGGGTTTAGGGTTTAATACTAGGTAGGTTTTGGGCACACTATTTTACATTTTCCCTTGTTGGGCTTGTAGGAACCTTTTTGAGAGCCTCTGAGGGGACAGCCCTACAATACCCGGACCCTGAGATCCACCCAACTTTGTGGTTTAGGGAACTTACAATACTCGGTCCCTGGGATCGCTTCGGATGTGAACCCTGTTTTGGGTTGAGGGGGGGGGG